TAATTTAACAACACTTCCTGTGTTAGTAAGTAAATGGTTAATATAGGTTTTATCTATTTCAACTAAAAAGACTACTTTCATTTTTTTTACAGATTTGATCATCAAAAGCTAAATGAATTACTGGTCACATGGACCAACGTAAACAGGACTGGCTGTAACAGTGTACCCTCCTTCCTCTGACCCGTCTCTGTAAACCCTCGCCTGGTTTAAGCCCCATCRTTCATTCTGCTGCGCTTTTTAAGCTGCGGCATCAAAGTCAGCCTATTCATATTTACAGAAGTTTGTTACGATGCTAAAAGCTCACTGCTTCACCCTCAACTTTCATTTTTAATGTTGAAGGACAAGACGMGGAGGTGCCGCTGAGAGTAACATTATTTAGGAAGTGACTGCATGCAAATAAACTCGCTCCTTTCAACTCATCCAAACTGTCGTATGGTGGTTGGTGACCCGGGAGTGAGAACTCGCCGAAACGTGACAGCAGGTGAAGAAGTTATAGGAGGCCAGGCGAAAGGTGATGTCATCGACGGAGCCTTTATCAGGACTGGTGTGCTGGGCAGCTATGAAGTGGACAGAAGCAGACTGCAGCTGTGGACACAAGACAATGTGTTAGTTTATAGATTTATGCTGGCTCGGCAGTGTTGTTGTGACAATGTGTTGTATTTCCTCTCCTCGAGCCAAACTCTCCCCAAAACATACTGACCTTGTACAGACACCTTTGTCCTCTTGTTGTGCAGGTAGACATCGTCCTCCACTTTTTAATTTGTGAGACCAGGGATTCATAAACTGACTGACATGGCAACCCAAAGTACCTGCCGAAAACAAGATGTGATATGTCTCCATCTAGCGGACACTGGGTTGAATTACTGTTCTCTGGCTGTTCGGAAGTTGTCACTGCAACAAGGAAATGGATCTAAATCCCAGCTGTACAATTTTTGTGTAGAGTTTGCCTTTTCTTTCTGTTTGTTTGTTTATTTTAATTTAGTGTTTTCTGCATTTTCCATACACAGTAAAAAAGTCTTCATATGCAAATCTAATAGAATTTTAGATGTCAGTGCTTTATCACCTTCCACTGAAAGCAAAAAGCTTTGATGTTTTTGAATTTGTCTAAGATACTTTGTTACTGTACTTAAGTAGAATTTTTGTGTATCTGTACTTTACTTGAGTAAATATTTTTCAGCCTACTTTTTATTTCTGCTTCTTACATTTTCACACAATTATCTGTACTTTCTACTCCTTACATTTTAAAAAAAAGGCAAGAAGTAGAAAGTCATCCCTTTATTTCATCTTTCCTTGTTTTCATTCCAGCTTGTAAAMGTAAATACTATCACAGTTTTTGTGCCTCCTAGATAGAGTGAATTTAATTGTGGTTGAATGAGAAGTATAAATATATGAAATTCTGATACCGTAAATTAGTTTGTACACAAACAAATCATGTCACACTCCAACATGACATAGCAGATATATGTAGCCTAGTACAAAGATGCATGTGGCGGCATATATATTAA